CTCTCCCCCTCCCTCCCTCCCCACTTCCTCCCAGTCTCTCCAGGTGTCCCTGACACTCCAGGCACTACCCAGCTGCAGGGCTCTTGTCACCACGGAGTGTCCTGGATCTTGAAACTCTGAGGTTTGTGTTTTAATGTTGACCTCTGGAAGGTTCCACACTCCCTCTCTGAAGGCCAGCTAGAAGCCTTGGTTTTGTGACCACTTCCCTCTGAAGGTCTTCACTGGGGCTGCAGGCTGGGGTGACCTGGAGGCCTGTGCTGGAGGAAGGGAACACTGGCCTGTCCCTGGCTGCGGCACCTGATGCGCTGGTGACCCTGGTGGCCCAGCCCCTTGGCATCAGCCCACCATCCCGTCATCACATTTGTCCTGGAATCCTGAAGGCAGCACCTGACCATCCTGGAGGGCTGAGCCTCTCCCTGACTGAGTGGCAGGAAAGTCATCCCCTGCAGAAAACCCTGCATCCTGTGGCAGCCCAAGACTGTTTTCTAATCATAACCAGCATACAAGTCCAGGCTGGTTTAACAACTGCCACTACTGACCACAGAGGACGAAGTGAGACTCAGGTGCAGCAGCAGTGCTTGAGGGTAGAGACATGGTAGAACTTCCCACACATGGTGCTCCCATGCAGGTCCAAAAGGAAATCAGAAAAAGGGGCTCTGGAGTGCCCTTCCCTGAGGTCCCCTGAGGGGGCTGCCCAGACCTGCTGTCATCCTCCCCAGCTCTGGCTTTCCAGGGAAAGCAGCCTATTCTTCCTCTCAGTGAATTGTCAGAAACTATTTTTCAGAATGTTAATTGCTACACCAACTGCCTATGGAAACCCAGTCTCAGTGACAGAAATAAATGCATTGAGATAATATTTAACCTGTTTCCTTTCTCTCCCTCCTCCCGCCTCCCTCGGCTTTATTAGGACGCCTGCAGGTGCCTGAGGAGCAGCGTGATCCCAGGGCACCAGGGTGCTGCCCGGCAGGGCTAGGCGGGCACGGCAGCCATGGCCAGCACAGCCGTGCAGCTCCTGGGCTTCCTGCTGAGCTTCCTGGGCATGGTGGGCACGCTCATCACCACCATCCTGCCGCACTGGCGGAGGACGGCGCACGTGGGCACCAACATCCTGACGGCCGTGTCCTACCTGAAGGGGCTCTGGATGGAGTGCGTGTGGCACAGCACGGGCATCTACCAGTGCCAGATCTACCGGTCGCTGCTGGCGCTGCCTCGTGACCTGCAGGCGGCCCGTGCGCTCATGGTCATCTCCTGCCTGCTGTCCGGCATGGCCTGCGCTTGTGCTGTGGTGGGCATGAAGTGCACCCGCTGCGCCAAGGGCACGCCCGCCAAGACCACCTTCGCGGTGCTCGGAGGGTCGCTCTTCCTCCTGGCCGGCCTCCTCTGCATGGTGGCCGTCTCCTGGACCACCAACGACGTGGTGCAAAACTTCTACAACCCGCTGCTGCCCAGCGGCATGAAGTTTGAGATCGGGCAGGCCCTGTACCTGGGCTTCATCTCCTCGTCCCTGTCCCTCATCGGAGGCACCCTGCTCTGCCTGTCCTGCCAGGAGGAGGCACCCTACAGGCCCTACCAAGCCCAGCCCAGGGCCACCACTGCCACTGCTGCCACCGCACCCGCCTACCGGCCACCAGACGCCTACAAGGACAACCGGGCCCCCTCGGTGACCTCCGCATCCCACAGCGGGTACAGGCTGAACGACTACGTGTGAGTCCCCCAGGGCCGTCCATCCCTGAGGGCCACCTGAGTGACAGCCGATGGATGCAGGGTGCAGCCCAAAGTTTACTGCTGGGTTATTCTGTATCCAAGGGATGTGCTTAGACACAGGGAAGGGGGAGAAATAAGAGGAGAAAACTCGGTATACCAAAGACTTTTTTAAACCCTTGCTGTTTTTTGTATTTATTATACGTATTTATGTGGGTGATTTAATAAGAGCTAAATAAAGAGAGACTCGGAGTTTGGCCTGGTGCTTACTTGCGACAAGGTTGTCTATGAAATGGTCGGCAGCAGCTTTGGTTTCCTTTGTGGCTCTGTCTCCAAGGTGCGAGGGATCGCAGCCGGAGCCTGGGGGACTTGGGGTCTCAAGGGCTGCCAGCTGGGCCAATGACCAGCTCTGCTGGCCGGACACCCAGCAGTGGCCACCACCGTGCATGATGGGAAAATCAGAGGGCAGTGGCTCAAACTCAGCCACAAGATGCTGGAGCGACACCCACAAACCCAGTCACCGTATCCCCACTTCAACTCCGAGGCAGGGCAGGAGGGAAGGGGCGCTCTCGGAGGAAAGAGTTGCCATAATCACAAAGTAGGGACAACGCGGCCTTCTACCATGAGCAGGAGGAGCCCACGGTAAGAACACAGAGTGAACAGAGAAAACAAAGCGAAGCACACCTGGCGCGACTCTCTGGGTGTCGGCAAGAAGCTCAGGAGCTCTGCTGCCCCCAGGGGCCCCGGGGAGACTCCTCTGGCTTCCTCTCTGGGGGGCCAGTCCCAGCCGCAAGAGAGCAGGTTGACTGCTCCTTCCGCCACAGAGACCTTCTGGGACAGTCGGGGGGGACCTGACTGTTCCCAGAGCATTGATGTCCTTTCTGGCTGTGACCTAAGTCACATGGCCAGAGCGCTGTGCCTGGTCACACACATCCCCATCAGCACTGGGAGCCTGGGCCACTTGGCTTTAGCGAGTGGGACCTACCTGGACTGGAGGGAAGCCGTATCGACACCGAGGTCCCGGTGTGAAACAGGAAGGGGTGACACCAGAAGTGAGAGAGGCTTCTATTCTACAGCCTGTCAGCTAAAATAGGAAGCTGATCCACTCGAGACCTTGGTTCCCTCCCCAGGTGACAGGGTGTGAGAATGCAGTATCCCCCCCACCCCCACCTCCTTCTCGCTTTCCCATCTTCCCCCACTCCCAGGACAAGCGCCCGGTCCTCTGAGCCTGTTATTTGCCACCTTATAGCCACATCCATCCAGGAGATGCCTGCTTCTGCCAAATCTCCAGGGTTGGGAGGAGTAACCCAGATGGTTCTGACAAGGACGTGGCCAGCTTTTGGGGGCAGGACACACAACTCCAAACCTTACAATGAAAAGGAAACACGAATCAACTCAGCTCTTTTCCAGGAAAACATCATTACAGGTATAGATCACCCCGCAATCCTCATGGATTAAGAAATGCTATTTCTTTGTTTCTCTAAATCAATTCAGAGTTGGCTGTGATCCAGAGAGGCCTGAAGTCAGCCATGTTTTCCGGCTCCCTCCTCCTACGTCAGGTCTCGGGGCCCCGGTGCTACCAGAGGCCCTAGGCTTGGAAGGGGGAACCCCTCTTCCACCTCAGGGATGTCAGCCCAGGGCCTCCCGACATCTCACATTCACCTACGAATAGGCCTGAGACTCTTCTGCCATGTGGAACTTGGGGGAAAAATAACTTTTCCCACTCGTCCCTGGGAGGCCACTCTGGAGACAGGGCTGCCACCGTAATGGCTCTGGCCTTAGCCCTGGGTTTGGCCTTTTGAGATCAAAGGCCTCCGAAACCTCCCACAGGATCCTACTTCCATGTCATCCTAAATGGAGACATTTTGAAAACTAAAAACCATACGACAGCCCATCCCATGAGGTATAGACAGAGGAGAGCCAGGATTTGGACCCTGAAACCAGGCCCCACTCATGGCTTCAGGTCAGGTGCTGCTGTCTGCACGACTGGAGTCAGAGGGGAGCTGGGAGAGACCCCAGAGGGGCCAAAATGGCTCACTCCTGCAGGAAGCAGACTCCAGGCAACCGAGAGCCGGTGACGCCGTGACCAGTCACTGTGGGACGAGGAGGAAGAAAGCAGAGAAACCAGGGCAAGACGGGGCTGAGGACGTTGAAGAGATTTAATTAAGATGAAAAGTTTTTAGAAAGCTGCTCCACATCTCCTTTAGCATCCTCACCCCTTTCTTGCCCAAGAAGAGACACAGTGGTGTGTGTGAGAGAGACAGACAGACACAGAGGCAGAGAGGCGAAGAGAAGCAGTCTCGGGCCCTGTATGTTTTAAGACATTTTCTTAATCAAAAAGCACAAAGTCAACTACTGGGCAACCCTCCAAAGGAGAGCAGAGAAACCTGGTTCAAGTAAATTATTTTAAAAATACTACCAACTGGCTTCCGCAGGTGTGTGGAGGGGAAGGCATTAGTAAACAGCCCATTTCCTGCCTGGAAAAGGCCAGGAGAGGTCACCCCATAAATCAGGGAGGGCCCAGCCTCTGGGAGGCCAGTGGCCAGCCTCTTCCTCACTCTCACCTCCCACTCAGTGGCCTCACCCCAGGCGCCCAGCATGACCTGAGGCGCTTTCTCTTTAAAAGCTCAGCCCCTCCCCTGCTGCTGCTGGTAAATGATTGACAGGGGAGCCCTCCCGGCTGCAGACTGCCCACCAGTCCCCGCCTGGAGCATCAGCTCCCTCCAGCTCTGGAGAGGTCTGGGATGTTGTCAGTCATCCCAGGTATTTTTCCAAAATAAAGAATTTCCATAGGTTTCCCAACCAAAATAATAAGCAGCAAGAAGGTCGGGTCTAGTGGCTGCGACAGGTGTCTGTGGGAGCCATGCCTGCCTTGGGGAGGAGCCTCCCACTGCCCTGCCCATCATGCATTGGAGGCAGTGAGGGTCCAGGACACTGGAGAGGGTGGGAGAATGGGGAGGCCGGGTGCTGGAGGGAGCTCCGCATCCAGGCCCTCTCCTATATGTATCTTTATTTTTCCATCAAATCTGATTAAAGCCAGAATGACACCACTCCACACCCAGGAGGACAGCTGATCTTTAAAGACTGACCATGTCAAATGCCGACACGGGGGTGGGCCAACTACAACCTGCTTGGGTGGTGGGGGTGGGGGTTTGCAACTTAGTGTAATTCCTTTAGTGACTGGAAGGGAGCAGAGAGTGGCAAGGGTCCCCCTCTCGACCTGGGAAGCAGTTCCACAGGTGTGCTCATTCTGTGGTCATCTGTCCAGGTGGACACTTAAAACTGGGACTCTTATTTGTTTTTAATATTCTTCATAACTCAACGCTATGCTTCTCCATTTTCCCCAAGAGACTGTGAACTTGGCCGTCCTGGTCACTTTTTTACTCCCGTGACACTGCACATGGTAGTTGCTCACCAGGGATTGATGGCTGAACGTGTGGCCCTGTGCTTTACAGAAGCAGACATGCCACTCCTCTGACAGGTTTTACGTACGACTTAGTTCAACTTGAAAATCCACTGGCACAGAACGTCCCAGGACCATACTGTATGTCAAATGAGGCCTCCTGTCACCATAGGCCCTTCCACTGCTGGTCAAGGGGAAGATCTTGAGGGAAGCCAAAAGGGAGGAATATGTGGAAGGCCCATCCTTTTTCCTAAGTGGAAGCTGCACCTCGTTTCACCAGAAGGTCAGCAGTAGACAGCAGAGACGGACATTCCCCCACCAGCCCAGAACATGGTCAGGGTTATGGTCAAATCAGGGTCCTGGGGAGAAGCCCTGGAGTGTGATCCTAGGTGCTCCAAAACATCCAAGCCATCTGGTCTTCAGTGCATGAAATTCTTTTAATGAATGCAAAGCCCTTCCATTCCTATTTAAAGAAAATAGGCTTCCTCCATCTTCTCTCTAAATCTGTGTCACTACCCATCTTTACTTCCTGATGGCTACCTCCTAGGTCAAAGGCTACTATGCACGAGGGTTCCCAAGTCCTCCCGGTCTCCCCAGCTGCTCCTTCGCCATTCTTCTCTGTCTTGTGTTGTTCAGTTCTTTGGCGTCCATCTGCTTTTCTATTTCTATCAACTACACAGAGAAATGTCTGACTACCAATTGAGGAACTATTTCCCTTTCAGTTCTGTAAGGGTTTTTTTAAAAAACATTTTTATTTGTAGATGGACACAATATCCACAATATCTTTATTTTATTTAGGTTTTTTTTTTTTTTTAAACGTGGTGCTGGGGATCCAAACCAGTGCCTCACGCATGCTAGGCAAGCGCTCTATCACTGAGCTGCAACCCAAGCCCCAGTTCTGTAAGTTTTACTTCCTGTATTTTGAAGTTCTGTTGGTAGGTGCTCCATGCTCCATTGTTCAGGGTTCTTCTGAGACAGAATATATATATATATGAATGAAGATATAAGGGACGCCTTAGGGGAATTGCCTCACATAATCATGGAGGCGGAGGAGCCCCATGGATTCCAGTCTTGGAAATCGGGGATCCTCCTTTCTCCAGTGTTGAAGATTACACACCCAAGAAACCCTGAGGCAAGCACAGAAAGCAAGTTGTGAGGGAGAGAAGGAGGTGGCTGTGTCTTGCCTTTTTATAGACCCAGGTTTCCTCTCCCTCCCCACCTGCCTAAGGGCAGGAAAAGAGCAGCCCAGGTGGGTAATCATTAGCAACTCTTTGATAATTAGTCAACCAGTCCTCATCTCTCCCAGGGATCATTCACTGTCTGCACTGACCACCTGTCCTCTGCCCCTGTCTCACCATGACAGGCTGTCTGCAAGCAAGAGACCCTGATATGACAGTAGCATGGCTCCATGCAAGTTCAAAGGTCCAGGAATGAGCCCTGGAGCCCAGATGCTGCAGAATCTGAGTTCTGATGTCCAGGGCCAGGAAAACAATCATGTACCCAGCTGTTCTGTCCTGATCCCCAGCTGATTGAGTGATACCTGTCTAAACTGATGGCAGGTCTTGCCATTTAGTTCACTCAGGCTCACATGCCAATCTTCTCAGAAAACCCCTCACAGACACACCTAAAAATAATGTCTTATCAGTTCTCTAGGCTAATCCAAACAAGTTATCAGTTAAAATTAACCACCACAATGCATAAATTAGAAGTGTTATGTTCTGGGCTGGGGTTAGGGCTCGGTGGTACAGCACTTGCCCAGCACATGTGGGGCACTGGGTTCAATCCTCAGTACCATATAAAAATAAATAAAACAAATGTATTGTGTCCATCTACAACTTAAAATAATTTT